TCCTCCTAGGTTACTACCCACAAGCTCACAAAACCTTTTTGATTGTTGGATCTGAACCATCAACATTAGACCTATCCAACATATCAGGATGAGAGGTTGTTACTGGGAGTAGTTATTTTAGGAGGATTTATTGGATGTGACAAAACTGAAAAAGATGTCTTTATTAAATACCCCCGCCGCAGCAAACCTGCCGTCTAAGCGAATTTCCATTTGGCTGAATTAATTTTCAATCCATCTATTTAAATAACATTAGGTTTAACGAGTATCTAGGTTTGCTGCTACAAGGAAACTAAGAAAGTGTGTGTTTTAAGTAAAATAATTATTGCTTAGTAGAAAATGAATATATTTGCCAAGTTTGATCAAAAGATATCCATAAACAAGCAAACTACAACATTTTACAATATTCTCCCTAAGAATAACATGGAAATTTTAAATTTAAAATTTTTTTAGTTTTCTCCGTAACTAATAACTGTACAAAAACACTTTGATATACTGAATTGTTTGTTTTTTTAAGCTCTTTAAGAAGGTTTAGAGAAAAATTGGGAAATTTTGTGTTTTGAGGGTCAAAAGTGAGAAAAACCAATTTTTACCCCATAAAACCCCCTATAAAACCCTGTTCCCATGGTCCGATCATGCTGGATCGCGAACTCATTCAAGTTTATCCCGCCTTACACCTTCAAACCAAATTTCATCAAAATCGGATAAAAATTACTCAAGTTATCGTGTTCACAGACACATATATATATAAATCTATATATATATGTATATATATATATATATATATATATACATATATAAAAATTTGAACGAATGGTGTTTTTGTCCTCTGGGGACATCAAAATGAAAAAGTAAATCGGTCCCGGGCCTAAGTCTTACCATGAGACCTACGGTAATAGCTACTTCCCTATAGGGAAATTCGCTAAAAGAGGGTAGAAAAGTGGAATAGTCATTTGGTAAGTCTGGTGAATGTAGCTGAAAAATACCCACAATCTGAACACACTGTTGCCACAAAATCAATACAAGCTAAATGGATTTTTTTTCAAAGAGTTGTTGAAAGTGAAGACATTAATTTTCATCCAGTAAAAAACTCAATAGAACAAAACCTATTTCCTGCTTTATTTGGCTCTCACCTAAACCAAGATGAACAAAAAATATTACATTTGCAAGTAAAAAATGGAGGAATTGGTTTAGTGGATCCTACCGCTCAGGGAAAAGCATTGTTCCGAGCTTCAAAGAGATGTTGTAAATTCATCATAGACTCCCTAAAAACTAAGAGGAAAATAAGAATGCAAGAACATGAAGAACATTTGATTATCACAAAAAAGGACTTGAAAGAGGAGAGAAGATTAGGAGAAGAAAACATTTTGAAATCGACTATTCAAAATTTTCCTCTAAAACAACAAAAAATTATCTTGCGAGGAGCAAATACTAAAGCGAAACACAGTGGATGGCTGTCATGCATTCCTCTGAAAAAACTTAACTTAGATCTTTCTCCACTGGAGTTCAGAGATGCTCTTGCATTAAGATATATGGGAAAACTCCTATACACCTCCACTCTTCATATGATGGCTGTGGCAAAAACTTCAATATGGAACATCCCCTTAAATGTTGTACAGGTGGTTTGATAATAAGAAGACATAATGAGGTAAGGGATACCCTTGGAAGCTTGATGGAGCTAGCATGGGGAAACTGTGTTCGAGAACCAATGATCTCTGAGCAAGGGTCATTTGATACTGCAGTACTAAAAGCAGACTTGGCTTGTAGGGGTGTATGGGAGGTTCAGACGGAAGCATTATTCGATGTATGTGTCGTTGACACTGATGCTCCATCGTACTTGAACCTCCCATACAAAAAAGTGTTGGAGAATGCAGAAAGAGAGAAGAGCAAATAATATTTAACAATAACAGAAACCAGAAATGCATCTTCTACCCCACTAGTCACGTCTGTGGACGTAATGCTGGGCAAAGAGTTTCGACCTTGCTCAGAGCAATGGCAGAACGCCTAACAGAAAAATGGAAGAAACCTTTTTGTGCGACGTTAAGGGCCAGCAGCATGTGTCTAAGGAGGACAAGGAAGAAGTGGAGGACCCTTAGAGAGTTTGAAGATGGGGCTGGAGTACCAGTTATTTATTAATTTAAATAGCAAATGTTTTATTATTTTTCCATATCAAAATTGTGAATTATATTATTTAGTATTTAAAAAAAAAAATACAGATGACTTAAATTAATTGATATATTTACATTCTTTCAAAATGTAAACATGGAAAATTTGGAAGGCCATGGGGCGTAGCCCAAGGGAAATGTGAAATTAAATGATATAATATTGCATTGTCATCCATTTGGGGAGCTATTTTTCAAATTTAAAGTCTCTAGCTCATCGGGAACTTTGTTTAAAATAATATCAAAATTTGTAGGAAAGCGACTACCGAGCTAATAAAAACAAGCCCATGCCCATGGGGCGTAGCACAAGGGAAATATGAAAATTAAATAATATTGCATTGTCATCCATTTGTGAGCTATGTTTCAAGTTTCAAGTCTCTATAGCTCATTGGGAACTTAGTATAAAATTGATTGCAAAATTTGTACCAGACAAGAAAGCGAGCTAATAAAAAGGTTTTAATATATAATTCTGAGCAATTTACAGACAAAACTCTAATTTTATTTATGAACATTTATTGTTTGTTTGTTTACTCTATTACTGAATTATTAATTATAATTATGAATCTTTGATTCTCAATTCAATTCTCATTACTGTATAGATGTTTGCATTACCACAAAATTATTGGTTTTTGTTCTGTCACACTGTTCAATGCAAACACAAGGTTGCCTGCAAATTCCAACCATGGTAAGTGTGTGTAACTTATTCAGTTATAGGCTAGTTTGACTAGCCAGAAAACCGGGCTGACACTAACAATGACAGGTTTTTTTCTTTCCTGACCCTATTTTCACAAGGTCAGTTTGTGTGATGTATTTTCCAGGGTGGCTATTTCAGTGACATCCATATCCATGTTAATCAGACACAAGAACAAACACTGAAAATCTTCAAAAATATTGTTCAAAATGGTTCTTTGTGCTGGAAATATATAAACACCTTACCTACCCTATGTTAAAAAAAATCAAAAATCTTATAACTCATTGAGCGAAGCTCTTATGCGTCGACTCTTATGCATTTCATATTATGCAATCTCCTCCTAGACGGCTGAAGTAATCATTTTCAAATTTTGCATAGTGATAAAGACCATATATCGGTGAGTGCTAACAACTATATGGCGTTAAAAAAACTCTCTAAGGAATCCCCCCCACTGGCTCTAAAAATTTGTTTGTAATCTTTATGGACGCAGTATTTGACACAAAAACAAAGACACAAGATCAGCTGTTGACTTATTAAAGGACTTAACTGAAACGGCTATTTTAAAAAAGGTCGTAGGTAAAAGGAATTACTGTAACTGTTATCACCGATATTAGAACAGAAACGGTATGGTTCATAAACATAAAAAATGATGTCACTAGCTTTTTATTATAATAATAGTTGTTTTATTACAAATCCAGTTATTTTATTATAATAAACCTTTCAATTGGAAGTCAACTATACTTTTTATACTAAATAAATTGTTGTTAATTTAATTCCCTCATCAGTAGATTGAAATATATATAAAAATAGTCACACAATGTCCACAAAATGTCAATATCAAGCAGCTGATTCGAATCCTACCTGGTGTTTTCTAGTTATGTTTAATTTTTTTACTCCTATTATGGATACTATAATAAAAAGTGTTCCAAAAGTTACATGAATAACGAAACCCGGTTCTTATAAAAAAAAGTTCACCCATAAATTGAACTAGGTATATGTTGCTTGAAATCGAGCAATCGCAAAGAAGTACATAAAGGAGTTATTTAAAAACAAATAACTTGTTTAAGAACAAATATAATTAAATTCCGATGAGTCTAAAAGAGTCAACTCAAAGATTACGTAACTAATGATAATACTCACAATGTAACTTACCAGTTCAACATAATCAACATTTCTTGTAAATATTTTATCATGTTTCAAAAGCTGATCTGGTTTTAGCATGGTGGAAGGAAAAAAACCTAGGTGTGCTATTCCCGTCATATTCTGATGTCACTTGGATTGCAAACAAAAGATCACCTGATTATAACTGTCAAATTAGTATATGTATTTGTTTTGATTTGGTTGTTATTGTTTTTATAATGTATGTTTTTATAAAAAAACATTAACAATCAAATCAAAACAATTACATACTTATTTGACAGTTACAATCAGGTGATCTTTTGTTTGCAATCCAAGTGACGTCAGAATATGACGGGAATAGCACACCTATGTTTTTTCCTTCCACCATAGGCTTTTAGTGTGTTGTAGAAATGTTTCCCACTTATAGCCACAATAGGTTGTCCATGTTGGTCTTTGTCAATGATAATGTAGTTTGCGTGGTATCACCCATTGTCGCCAGTACGTTTACAAATTTCAGTCTTTATTTTAATAGCACCAAATAACCATTAACTACCTGATTTTCTGCATAACCTCTCTGTCACAATTTTACAATTAACATATGTTCTTCTTCTCACTTTAAATTTCTGACAACAGCTGGAGTTTCATAACAATATTTGTTTCCCATGTTAATCTTATGGAGAAATACGAAACTTTAAAGGGCCACAGGTCCTCACTCTCTAATTATTTCCCTAAAAAGAAAGTTTCTTGCACAACTTCACGTTATGCTCTTTCCAATGACACCAAAAACATGTCAATCGGTTCAGTAATTTCGGAGAAGTAATTGTCACATAAACCTGCTTGCGTACCTATTTAATAAGTATAGATACAAAATTAGGTACATCAATCTCCTTAAAACCAAATCACAAATCCTTCAATCACTCAAAAGTCACAATAAATCATTAATAAAAACACAAACATAAGCTGTTATAAACTTTAGAATATTGCTATGCCTTTTTAATAGTGTGTCATCAAAATATATAAAAAAAACAACATTTCATTTCATATAATTTTATTCATTTCAGTACATCAATACAGGAATAGCGATCTATACTATATAAAGTTGGAAATGATTAATTTACCAAGTATCGAAATATAAGAAGGTTTCTACTGACTTATACAATCCCCGCCCATAGAACAGGCACCCTGCTAGTTAAATATCAAGATATCTCTTTTTACCCAAGACAAGGTCAGTTAGTGAAAGTAATCATTTTAACAAAGATAATAATAGTTATTTGTGCAACTAGTGAGCAAAGTGATAAATTGACTCACTCGAGAGAAATACTTACTCACGAGCCGTAGGCGAGTGAGGAATGTTTTCTCGAGTGAGGCAATTGCACTTTGCACTCGAGCTGCACATTATATTTTTCCTACAGTTACCATAAAACAAATAAATTGGTAAAGAAACGTAACATATTTTTACACAGAAGTGAACTTATGACATTTAATGATACAACAGTAAAACAGCTGACCAGCTGATTTACAGCCAGTGCTGCCAACGTATTTCGCGCACATACGACCTTGTCTGCATGTTACGCGCTCACTATTTTGTGCCTTCACGTTGCAAATCTGGAGTGAGACAAAGTAATTAGAGTGAGACAATGTTAACATTGTCTCACTGATGAGCGAATTGGCCAAACTTTGCTTTCTCAAATCAGTGAGAGAACATGTACATTGTTAGGTAACTGTAGGAAAACAGTATTTTTTTACCAGGCAGAAGTACAAACAAATATTAAAAATGTAAGAAAACATCTTCATAAAAACAATAAAATTATCTTAATTTAATAATCTAAATGAGAAAAAAATTTAAATACTGATGTTCAAAATAAATGTTAAACTAATCAACATAATGGATCTAAACTGATTTGTCTCCACTTCTTCAGCCTCCTCTCCCCCAACCTCCATGCCTCCATCGCCATCCACCCTGTCATCAGGCCTGGATATAACAGAACAAAAATTAATATTAAAAACAGTATTCTGAACAGAACAAGAATCTTTTTATGCATACTTCTATCATTATTTAATGTAATCAGTGGCGTACTGAGGGGGGGGGGGTTTGCACCAGGCCCCACACCAACATAGGCCTCCAAATCAGGGCCGTATTCCCCTAACGGTGGACACTGCGATTGCCAAGGGCTTCGGCCTGGGAAGGGGACTCACTTGGGGCCTCAAAAGAATGCTTTTTCTCTTGGAAAATATTCCCACAATCTGTTAGAATTAGGGGGTACAATAATCCAAGTTTGTCTTGTTTTCTCATGATAGCCGAAAACATCTGCAAAGATTGCGTGATCGAAATTTACGACTACCAGCGGGTAGTCGTAAAATATAGCCTACATTTCCTAAAAAACAAAAGCAAATTTTTGGGCACATCTCCAGTTAAAATGTTGGTTAAATACTAGTAATTCAGGAGGATTATGCGACATAGGCTTGGGGACACGGCCCTGGATTTACGAGTATAAGAATTAAATTTAAGTAAATGGCAAAACTTACCATTAGTTAGTTCTCTTCAATCTTAGTCTTTACTTCGCTCCAACCTCCATCTTCTCTTCCTCTGACACCTCTCCCCTGTATTCTCCAATGTCGGAGGATATTAATTACAACGCCCCCATTTTACTGGTAGGCTTCAGTTCTGTACAGAAATATTGCAAAAAATAGTGTTATACAAATACTTTGAGTCCAACAAATAATACAAGTCTGTACACTCCTTTCTATATTTGTGATATTCAAATAGGTACAGCTAATAGGAAAATGTTTGAGCAAATCTGGGTCAAGTTAGTACAAATATTATAATTTGTAACAATAATTTGGTTTAGACAAAATAAATTGGTTTAACACGTTCGCTACCACAATTATATAAAATTTACGTTCGCATAGACCAGCGACGCAATTGTGCGTCGACTCGTTTCTCACAATAGACCACCGACGCATATTTGCGTTGCTGATCATATTGAAATAGACTAACGACACACACTTGCGTCGGTGTTCAATGTTATTAATCAGCGTATTTCTTAGCAACGGTCTATTTTAAAGCCCTGATTTTATCGTATCAGTCTAGAGGGATATCTGCCGCGAATGTGCGTCGCTTGGTCTGTGGATATGACGATTGGTTACGTCACACAACAGTTGGCAACATTGTTGTTTACATTGTGCATTCCGCGACATCTCAGAACAGATGTAAACGTTATAACCTTTGCACTTTTGGCGAGTGTTTGGAGTTTCTTTATTTGTTTGAGTAAAAGCTTGAAACAACCAAATTTACAACGACGCTTAAACGTGCGTTGCCTGGTCTATTGAAACGAAAATGTAGAATCTTTTTATCTGGATTTTATTAAATAGACTGATCGACGCATGTATGCGGCGTTTTAAAATTTGCTCAATACGATAAATAAAAACAATATTTAGCCTATTGCTTACTAATTCACTTAAGGTCAATATGAAGTCAATTAGTCCATTTAAACGATATTTCTCTTTTGGTCTGTTGGCAATGTTATTCCTATATCACTTGGTCTGTAAGCAACGTCATGATCATTCCTTTTGGTCTGTAGGAGTGAACCGACCGACGCATATGAGCGTCGCTCGGTAGCGAACGTGTTCAACATTAATTCTTTGTTATTTCCCAATTTGCAAAAATGCAAGCTCTAGCCTAATTAAGACATTTCCAAACAACATGTTTCGAGATGTAATGCAAATGCATTTTAAGTAGGGGCCTAGTTTTGAATGTTTATAAAAAAACTATAAATTTGCATAAAGATTAATTATCCTTATGTTCCACCAAAAACTATTAATAATAGTTTATTTGTGTAGGTAACTAGTGGGCGAAGTGGCACTTTGCTACACATGAGAGAAATGTTTACGCACGAGCCGTAGGCGAGTGTGGAAAGTTTGTCGAGTGCAGCAATGGCAGTTTGCACTTGTGTTACACATTATATTTTCCCTACAGTTACCATAAAACATATAAATAATTAGTTGTTCAAACTCTGTTCAACACAAAATGCAAATGATTCAGTTTGGATCAGTGTCTATGGTTGTCGATAATATGGAACCCACCCAAATACGGACAGTAGGCCTAGGACATAAAAATGTTCTTTCCATTTATGATAATCCAACCTAACATAACCGCCACAAAGCGCTGTATAGCCTATCTGTAGCCTCCGGATAACACTTACCAAAGTACCGATTTGAACTTTGAATAACTTAGTTAACAAACATAAGCCTAGAATCTATCACAAAGGGGAAAGAATGTTGACTCACCTCACTTAAGTTATGGTTAGACCAAGGAACATTATCACGGCAGTATGGTAATTGCCTCCAGGGTCCACAACTCTGGTCTCTCTTTCTCTCTCATCTGCTGTGATGTCGATGGCAATCTCTTCCAGAAAGGTTAGTCCTCTTAACTTATTGGTTCAAGACAATATTTAAAATAGAGACCAATTTGGGTTCAGGTCAAATTACAGCCTTTGCTCGAGGATCATCTATAAAATTAACATTGATGTCATCAGCAATGAATGATATAATCCAAGTCTAGTCTTACACCAAATACAAACAGCTCTAGAATATTTTACAGCACTTAAGTTTACGTCATACACTCATTCCAATGAATATATTTCTTTAATACTTTCTTTCTTATTACTTGGCGACCATAGCCTACAAAGTAGGTATTTTAAGCCAAGTATGAATGGAAATGAGTGTAGGATCAGGATGAGTGGCGCGATCTTGTAGTCTTGTTAGTGACTAAGGCCGACATTCCTTAGACACAGCTGTTAATTAATAGCCCATACAGCTAATGGCAACTAAGGGACCTACAGTTTATAGTGGAATCCGAACAACATTATTGCCTTGGTCTATATACGAATTGGTCTAATTATCTGGATAGTACTGCGGATAGTCGTAGTACTCACTCAAGCGGACGTTAATCCACACCAGGGAGTATCGCATCCACAGTGCATGCCTATAAATATCCACAATTCGTGACCTCCTAGTAGCAGGGATTACAGGACGACGCCACCCGTCCCAGTCATATTGATTATTTCATTCGATAAACTTAGGCCTATATCAATTTTGGGTAATGTTAGGGTGAAACCTAACCTAACTAACGGAATGAAATATTCAAAATATTAAATAGTCTAACTAATGTATTATCTTTCATTTGAATGAATAAAGGACATAAACTAAAGCGCAGCCGAATATTTTTACATAAACAAATTCTTAAAGTTGACACTGGGTCAATGGGAATAAGAGACAATCCTAATAGCCTAGGGATATGCCTATTCAAACATTTGCTACAATAAGTTATTGCTTGATGATTCAGAATTAGCCTACGAATAAGCTGTATCTTAAGTTCTTGTTGGTGTCTTACTTTACCTTCTTGTTGGTGACTTACCTGAAGTGTCTGTTATCATGTTGATTAGCCTACATAACCTACCTATACAAATTATTTCACATTTTTTCCCTTAAAAACTATTGTTTGTAACACACGAGTCACCAATTTTCCTGTAAGCAAGGAAAGAAATAAAAAAGATAAATATTTACAATATAAAAGTTAGGTTAATAATAACTTAATGCTTAGTCAAAATGGCCAGCTTATCATTCATTATTCATTGTCCGTCGGAATTCGGAATTAAGAAATTCCTTTTAAATATGAAAAATCATAAGGTTAACATGGGAAACTCCAGAGCCACTGGGGCAGAGCCCGAATCCCCGATCAGAATAAAAACTACTTAGTTTTCCTATTTAATGCCCAAAGAATCGGTGTACCGAATTTCAGCCTCCAAGGTAAATGGGAAGTGGGAGAATTAGTGATGAGTGAGTGAGTGAGTGAGTGAGTCAGTCAGTGAGGGCTTTGCCTTTTATATATTTAGATATCGTGAAAATTACTTATTAAAAAAAACTAATAAACTTACATACACACATTGATTGGTTTCTAGCCTGTTTTTATTTACCTATTTAATGATTAAAGTTAACAGCTTTATTATGGGACTCCCAATTTTTTAAAGCTAGATTTTTTAAAGTATATAATGTTGTTTGTAATCTTAGAAAATTTACAATCAATTATGGTACACCTATACTTAAAATTATTCAGAGAATTCAATAGATAATGGGTTACACCATTATAATCTATGGTTTATTAAGATTGCAGTGATAATCTATATATTCTATTGATTTTGAATAATCTACATTTATTTGCAAAGTGTAAAGGAGTGCGTGGGCCGGTCACATGAAAGCTGTCATGCCGCAACGGCGGCGCCACCTCGCGTTTGCGTACAGGTACTAGGTACACACTGGGTTGGCGCTTTCAAGACCGTGGCCTAATACTACGCGAACACACGAGACTGCAATGAATCAAATGACGTGACCACGTGATGATAATCCACTTACCAAAACAAAGATATGAGTAATTATGTTTACAACAGTTGTTTACATACAGACATCGAGGCGAGGCGCCCAGATGCTTAGCGCCTGCAAATAGTGCGCAATACCCTCCGAACATAGCTGCGTATCACTCTGGCTCAAGGGACTTAAATTTACTTTCGCGGACAGTACAAGCGTAGCTTGGGGGTTGTGCTCCCATTAGTTTTAGGGTGGCGAGGTAGAAGACCTTCAAGAATTTCTGATAAATCGTATTCGTCTTCACACTAACAATTTCCATCCTCAAACATTTTCAAGATGTCTAAGGTACGAATTAGTATTAAATCGTGTATATGGTTCGTTTGTGTTAAACTAAAATAGTATACAAAATAATATAATAAAAAATAATAAAAAAATATGGTCTTTATGGAATGTAGATGCAATTCTAAAACGTATTTAGGCCTACTCTTAGCAATTTTGCTTTAAACTTATTCGTTTGAGCTACTTTATGTAAAATGTACACCGGAAGTCATTTTTCCATAGGCTGTAACTCCTAAACGAGTGGTTTTATCGAGAAAATGTCTAGAATAAAAATGTTTTTAAATTGCATGTTCTATCCGAAAACATGATAAAATATAGGGTGTTCCATAAGAAATTTCTAATTTGGCTGCAATTTTGGAAAATAGTGGCACAATTTTGAAAAAATAAAATTATATTTTTAACTGGCACAAAAAATAAAGGAATGTCCCCATTTAAAGTTTTCTCTAATTATTACCGTTTCCGATATCCCAATGGTGGCCTCCTTGCAATGGTGGCCTCCTTGCAATGGTGGCCTCCTTGCAATGGTGGCCTCCTTGAGGTGATCACACTGTATACAGGGTGTTCAAAAAAGGTGGGGACATATTTTACCAAGGGATTTCTTGTGTCAAAATAAACAGAAAATCAAGAATAACATTTTTTCCAAAATCGCTTCGTTAACCAGATATCAGCCATTTTGTATTTTTTATATACAAATATTTATCTTTAGACTTTTCCAACCGATGTTGATGAAAAAAGATTCATCTCCATTCACCTAAAAATTTCAAAATGGTGGCCATTTTAATTTCTTAAACCTAAATTAGTCAAAAACTGATGATTTTATGAACAAATTCCAGGAACACTTTAATTTAGCATTGTTAATTCCCTATCAAACTATACCAAGTTCAAAAAGACCAAATAATAAATAGCTGAAATATTATGATTTTACTTGACATTTTTTCATAAAATCAGCCGTTTTTTTGTCATTTCAGTTTAAACAATTAAAATGTCCACCATTTTGAAATTTTAAGTTGAATTGAGATGAATTTATTCTCTAACATGTTTCTCTGCTACATTATGGATATTCGCTTAGTCTGCAGGTTTGCTGCGTCGGGGTGACAATTTTTTAATAATAGCACTTGGACCAAAAGAGCACTGACGATGGGGATTTCGGCAGTAACGGAGCACTAACAATTGGTGCCATTTATTTTGACGTGAGTGCTTAAATTGGGGGGCCAACTTTATGGACCTCTTCTAAAAGTATCTTTGAAAACTGCTATGCTGTAAAACTTAAACTAAAAAAGGTAGTTCTTTTGAACTTTGAAACCCTTAAATGTCTTAATGGAACTGTCAGTTTTTGAGGGAGTGTTAATAATAAGGATGGGCAAACCTTAACAATTATACCGGATTATAAAGGTCGACCTACACCAATGAATACAGTATTCATTGCCTAAACCCCATGGATATACAGGGTGAGTTTTAAATGAGTTCCCCACCCCTACTTTTTTCTACACTTCTTAAGGATATCAACTCCGGATCATGTCAGATCATTGTAGAGTAGTGAGTACCTGGGTATACATTTTTGTCCGCCATATTGGATACGCTATATTGGATACAAAGTCTTTTTTTAGCGAATTTCCCTATAGGGAAGTAGCTATTACCGTAGGTGGCACGGTAAGACCTAGACCCGGGACCGATTTACTTTTTCATTTTGATGTCCCCAGAGGCCAAAAACACCATTCGTTCAAATTTATATATATATATATATATATATATATAGCTATATATATAAATATATATATATATATATATATATTTATATATATATAGACATATATATATATATATATACGTCCGTGAACGCGATAACTTGAGTAATTTTTGTCCGATTTTGATGAAATTTGGTTTAAAGGTGTAAAGCGGGATAAACTTGAATGAGTTCGCGAACCAGCACGATCGGACCATGGGAACGGGGCTTTACGGGGGGTTTTATGGGGTAAAAATTGGTTTTTCTCACTTTTGACCCTCAAAACACAAAATTTCCCGATTTCTCTTTAGACCTTTTTAAAGAGCTTAAAAAAACAAATAATTTAGTATATAAAAGTATTTTTCTTTGATTATTAGTAACGGAGAAAATTAAAAAAATTGTAAATTTAAAATTCCCATGTTATTCTTATGGAGAATATTGTCAAATGTTGTAGTTTGCTTGTTTATGGATATATTTTGATCAAACTTGGCAAATTTATTTATTTTGTACTAAGCTATCAATATTTTACTCAAAAACACACTTTATTAGTTTCCTTGTAGCAGCAAACCTAGGTACTCGTTAAACCTAATGTTTGTTATTAAAATATATTTAACTGAAAATCAATTCAGACAAATGGAAATTCGCTTAGTCGGCAGGTTTGCTGCGGCGGGGGTATTTATGTAAAAGTACGGTTGTGACCCATCGTTCCAAACTAGATTTTTACGCTGAATACGATGCTGTAATCCGTTTTTAAAAATCTTCATCCGTTCTAAAGTCATGAGAACTTTTTATAACTTTATTTTTAGCCCATTTTAACATTGTGCATTTACACACTAAGACCATAATCTCAAAATAGTGCTAGATAAAGATAAGTATACAGGGTGAGTTTCTACTTAGCGTGTTAACTTCGCCAGTAGGTTCTACTCACTAAAAGGAACAATAAAGGTCCTATAAACCCATGTCCGGTTTTCAACCGTTTGGCTGTAATAGGGGATTTTGTGTTTTTCTGATTTTATTAGACTTTGCTCCACAATTTATGAAATACAAATTTTACCAATTACTTTAGAGAGTTAGGCTATAGTTAAAATCATTGGAAAGAATATTAAATTGCTATGAATCAAAGGTTTCATTTAACAATTATACCTTTACATAGTCCACGTTATATCCAAAATAAAGTAAAAATTGCATTAAATTAATTAATTACGATAATTTTCATGAGCCCACTTTGATACATAAACCTGCATCTATGCAATGTTGAAATTCACAAAAAACTTGGCCATTTAATAATCTGTCAAATGATATGCTATTCAATACTGTTATTGATATAAAGCAGTGAGAAATTACTAATAAACTACAATAAAACACGGTTTACAGATTTTGTTTTTGCACAGATTTTACTGTTAATTGAATGAACGAAGTGAATTCTCATACTGGTGTAAAATGCATCTCATCAATCTCCAATAACTCGAATATAACTTCGTATATAAAGTTGATGTTTTGTACAAAGGTTCTTTATCATATTATCTCGGTTAAGTTCGTTATTGGAGATTATTTGTTCAGTAATAATTATAAAATCCTAAAAAAAAACCATTTTAATTTGCGAGCGTTTCAGGGCAGGAATTGGACTAGCCTACTGCGCATGCGCCAGAAAGAACCAACTCAGTTGTATTTGGTCTTCAACGAGTCGACTCATGAGTCATAACTTACTAGTTCAGTTCAGTTTCAGTTCTGCTAGTGGTTCTGCTCGTTCTGCTGTTAGCTACCTCCGCGAAGAATGACGATTGATTGACGACTTGAGTCAGTCATCTCTGTCACCCCATCATCCGTTGCATCCCTATCGTCCATTTTAAGTGCATATTCGGTACTTTAATACTGACTATGGGAATGGACTAAAAATTGAGTTTTCCCATTTTTTACCCTAAAATCATAGTTTTTTGTATTTTTCAAGTTATTTTGTTGTACTTGGCAAAATTAATAATTTAAACTTAATATGTTCAGAATATACCATTAATATTCCAGATTACTTTTCCAGAATATTCTGAGAATGTTCTCCAGATTTCTAGGCTATATACAAATTTTCTTAGAATATTTTTGTTGAGTGATCTGAGTATATTCAAGGAAATTGCCTGGGATGTTGAGAATGATCTCAAACATTTTGGAAAATTCCAGGAAATCCTATTATTTTTCATGTTGTATTTAAATGTTATACGGTATATACAAGTGAGTTAACAAATTTTTAGATTTTCTCGAATTTGATGTTGGCAGATATTGATTGCAGTCCATGCCCTGGAATTTGAGGAGCAGAATCATTGCAATTATAAAATAAATTGAAATACCATCCAGAGAAAATATAGGAAATAAGGTCAACACTTGATATTTGGTATCAAATTAAACTTACCAAATTTAAAATAAGAGTTTTAGGAATTTTTTACATACTTTTACATTTCAACCTCCTTTGTTTGAATAATCTTTATGTTAGTCTGGAATTTTCAGATTTTATTTTAGTTCCTTTATACATTTAAACAGACCAATGCATCTGCAACGACGCATGCAACTTAACGATTGCAATACAAAAACACCAATAAATAATAACAATCTATATATATAAAATCCAATGTATGTTTGTATATTTGTATGTTTGTCCTTTATGGACTCCGAAACCGCTCGACAGATTGTAATGAAACTTTTAGGCATTATTAAGCATTATTCAAGGATGGTTTGTGTGAAGTTTGGTGCAGATCCGTCAATAGGGCTCCGCCCCAGTGGCTCTAGAGTTTCCCATATTACCCTTATGAGTACTCATATTTAAATGGAATTAAAGAGTCTTAACAGCTGGTGCAGCTAAACAATTTGATTCTGTGATGTTCAATAGCATTAAAAATTTAATAGGTTTACCAACAGGATGCAGCACTATATTTTCTTTTAATTTATGAGAACAGCTAATTTGCAACCAAAAGGTGAGTGAGCGTAGCGAACGAACTTCAACCTGGAGGCGAGTTAGCGTAGCGAACGAGCTAACCTGAAGGCAAGTGAGCGCAGCGAACGAGCTCCAACCTAAAGGTGAGTGAGCGTAGCGAACGAACTTCAACCAGGACGTGATTGAGCCATGCGAACGAGCTCATCTTGAAAATGAACGAGCATGTGACATAAAACCACAATAGGACAGGACGACGTCTGTCGGGCCAGCTAGTGGTATATAAAAAGCTGCTGTGTTTACTATTTTATATTTTTAAAGTGCATAAAGGCCATGCTGCAGGATTCATGACGTCACACTAGTGGATGGATTTCATTGATAAATTCATTGCCATCACCATCCCCATACGTTTTAGGTAAATAAACAAGCTGGCTGTTTGTAAGATTTTAGTACAACTATCCACCACTGTGACGTAGTGTTGCGCTGCCCTTAAATCAGAACTTATGTTTAGAAACAAAGTAAAAAATAAAAGAATTATAAAAAAATTATTACAGCTGGAAATAGTGGCATTAAATGATCATTCAATTTTAATAGTTTATGTAGAACATTTATTTTAAAAACATATAAAGTAAATCATAAACAGTGGTAATTTATCACAAAAGTCCGTACGGTACTATTACACCTCACACTAATAACAAAACATGTTTAAGTCTTCAATCAGTTCACCAGCACCTCAATCAATGACTCTGTAACAAAAAAACTGTGTTTTAGGTTTAATTTAATAAACTTGGGCAACACATTCAATGTGAAGCCTACAGCGTAGTTCACACCAGTAAATATATTGTATGTGGTACTATGGGGTTAATGCATGAAGTTTTGGCTGTTATTTTTTTATTCGTGTAACTATAACATAGTAAAATATACAGTACAATGGACTCCCTCTTATCCAGACTCTCGGGACCGAGGTCAGTGCGGATAATGGATTTTCTGGTTAACGTTGTGCTAGGTCGATTTATGCCAAACTATTCCGCCTAGATCGCAGCACTAGTACTGGCAGCGCTCAACTCTCCCCCTCCGCCGTCTGTTCCCCTCAACAACCCCTCCCCACCACGCCGGTCGCCGAACCATCGATGTATATAACTAATGAATACAAAAACCTAACGCGCAGATAGCTGCTGCTGTTGTTTGCGTTATCTCCTTATCTGAATTCTGAGATGTCTTGTCTTCTTGTGTCGCCTTACTAACGCTAGTCGCTGGTATCCCGGGCTCAGGTCATGGGCTGGGGGAAGTCTGTGATTCATCTTCAACTTAATTAATTGTAACATAAAATAATAATTCAAATTACAACCTTAGTATTAACATAAGAATATATGCACAATATAATGTGTCTTACATTCACACTGATTTTTAAAACCTGTTAGAATATCAGTATGATGTATTTTGTGTAATGTAGGCTAATTTAACATTATATTTATAGTCAAAATATTTTTATGTACGATCTTATAATTTGGTGTAAGTGTACTGTATATAAAAACCAACCACATGCCTCATTAGGAGGCACCTTCAAAATTATTTTGCCATACTACATTAAACTGTAAGATCCTTTTGCAACTACGAAAATAAAAATAAAGTCAAAATAGAAGTAAAATAGCACATAAGGATTATTACAAATTTAATTTTCATTGTAATACGTACTGTACTCTATTTGGGGCTTGATTGAAACACACACACACACACAAAAATAAGTAACATTTAAATATAATAAAGGTACTGTAAATAAGTGAGAAAACATAAACTGTGAATGCTTTGATTTGTCTATAACTGTACAATTTCTTTATTTATTTAGCTATAGTGAACCAAGGAGTTTCAAACGTTTCGGTCTCCCAATCTCAAGGTCTGTGTCTTGAACAACTTCAGGGTTGCCACCAAAGTGAGATAAAAAAATTCATGCATAATTCAAGGTTTTCATTGGTAGTTTTGAAAAATTCATGGGGTATATGCTCGCACAATTTCACCATAAAAGAGTGTTGCCTAGTTCAGAATTGTACATTAATTTATCGACAATTTATAGTTTTGTGTGCTACTATCAAATAAAACACATTTAATGCGTTTATTTTAGAGTTAAAAATAAGAATTTAATATAATTTATCCAGTCTAAAAAAGTAAAATCACAGATGAAAAAGGATTAATAAAAATCTTGTGTGTGATAATAAGATGTAATTATTAAAAAAAAATTGAAACATCTGATTTAACAACATCATAGGCCTAATGATAAATTCAAACGTTAGACGAAATAGTAAATTAAAAAATTAGTCGGATTGGTAGTTAGGTTTGGCCTAACCTAAAAAACATTGCATCCAAACATAAAAGGTTTAACTTAGTTAATCCAGCAATGGCCTAGAACTTTACTGTCTAAACATCAAATTAAGATAATAGGCTACTATAAAAACAAATGTTAAGAACATGATCAAGAAACGGTTAACTTGGTAATGAATGGGCCATATCTAGGCCTACTAAAACGCACATGCAATTTATTACTTTATACTGTAACACAGTAGGCTAGACTACATTGTAATCCAAAACTGAATCTTGGCTAAGTTAGGCCTGAACCAACTTCTATTTATTGAGAAGATTAAAGGTTACCGACTGACTGATAAAAACACTCTAAAAAGGTAAGATTATGTAAATAAATATTTAGTTAATGCTAAGAACGAAACAAAAGTAATGGAATGTATGTAAGTTTAGACATAGGCTAACTTACATTAAGTAATAAAAAAAAAATTAATTACATTACAGAAAAGGTTAAAATAAACTTAGTTAGGAGGATGTTTCTTCAGATTGGATCAGTTTATATATTATTATTTGCCTACACAGGTTTAAATCACAGTTAAAACAATTATTTAATTAAATTTACATCTCATTAAAAACTTAGTTAGATTCGTATTGACTGAAAACACCTAGTTATATGCTTCAACAAAACATTTACATTTACCTTCCTCAGAACGAAATCACCATTTTTCAGCACAACATTGACTTCTTGCAACTTAGGCCTAAATAAATAAACTTAATCTCACGTTGTAACACATTTACTCAACACTGACAGTAGTTTGAAATGACGACATATTTGACCAAAACAAACACAGAAGACGATTAAGTTCCAGCCGGCGCAAGCCATTTTGACCTTTATGGCAAGGCAAGGTACTTCTTATTTTAACGTTGTAAAGTATCGGAAGTATAATATATCAGTAATAAAAAATATTTAATCTGAACACTTGTTCCACTGAGTGTTGGGTAATCAATTATAAGAAGCACAAAACTGAATCACGAGTGCAACAAGTGATCTTACTGTCCAGTGTCCACCACTACTTCAAACTTCAAACGTTTGACTCGTTTCTAAGGGCGGGTTTCTGAGTCAGGTATTAGCGCTAGTCTTAGACTAAAGCTCATTTTAGTACTGGACTAAGAAAAATATCTTTCTGATTCGAGTACTTATAAGTCAGCGACTAATCTTAGTCAAGAACTAGTTTTTAATTCTGAACTAAAGAAATTATGCTTTAGTCCACGGACTAAAACATGCTAGATTTTAATCCTGCATATGGGTAGGATTAATTTTAGTCGTCCACTTTTAACCTAAGCCATTTTTTTGTGTTAAAGTTGAAGGTGACTATGGATTATATTGATTATAATGATTTGTACCGTTTTCGTGGGCCGCGAATTCGTCGTGAGCGGGGAAACAATCCTTTTGTTGACCTAAGTGAAGATGAGTTTAAGGATAGATATAGATTTTCAAAAAACTCTGTGAGAGAACTGATTGAACTGATAAGGCCTAGTTTGGAAGGCACTTCCACAAGGGGAACTAGGTTACCTTTGTGGAAGAAAGTGTTGGTAGCGTTGCGCTTTTTTGCAAGTGGGACACTTTTGCGGGAAGCCGGCGATTTAATTAATATTTCAGAATCATCGGCATGCCGCTATGTGCATAAAGTGGCATTGGCAATATGCCGTACACTGAGGAAAGAATACATCATATTTCCGAAGAACGAATATGCCCAACAGACAAAGGACGCCTTTTATAGATTAGGTCGTTTCCCTGGCATCCTCAGTGCTATTGATGGCACACATATTCCCATTGTGTGTCCATCAACTGACGACAAGGAGGAGTACCGAAACCGCAAAGGCTATTTTTCAATAAATGTTTTTGCGGCGGTAGGCGCTAAACAAGAGTTTACCAACATCGTCGCCAGGTGGAAAGGAAGCACGCACGATTCCCGAGTGTTCAAAAACTCATCCCTATACGCCCGTTTCGAGCATAACGAGTTCAACGGTGTGCTGATAGGAGATAGCGGGTACGAATGTAACAGGTAAGATATGGTTTGGAATGCTTCTTAACTTTTAGGATTTATCCTAATTAAAGTCGGTACATTATTATTACTTGTCTTAACAATAAACTTAATTTATTTCTGAATAGGAGAATTCAACTGAGGCATTTACAATACAACCTTTAAGCGGTGGTCTAGTAGCCTATAAGTTAGCTTTTTATTTTATTTATTTGCCAACGGATTTAGGCTACACCAATTTTTTAAATACATATAACCAATACAAATACCTTTAACTTATAAGTATTGAAAATTGAAACCCTGATATATAAACTCAGTCGAGACAAGGTTTATGCAAGTTAGTCAACCTTATTTAATATTGGCTAGGCTACTAGTAGTAAAGTTATTAGCATCTGAAGTTATTAGGCCATCTAGTCGTAATGAGCAATTTACAACTCAATCAAACTGTAAAATTGGTGTAGCCTAAATCCGTTGGCAAATAAATAAAATAAAAAGCTAACTTATAGGCTACTAGACCAGGGAATGTTGCTGAAAGTCAACAGTCCCGGAAGATCAAATAATTTATACCTGTGCCGCTAGGTCAAAAACTACAATGTTTGCAGTGTCTGTAGATCAAAAATCCCAGAAAGTCAAATAGTACAGTCCGGGCTAAAAGTTTAGTCTATGTTAAAGCAATTGACTTATTGGGAATTTGACCTAATGCAACAGCAGGATTAATATAACGAAATACGGTAAAATACAAGTTCAGTTTCGCTGAGTCAAAAGTGTCGGAAGATCAAAAGCAATAAAAGTGAACGTCGATTCAGTGTAAAGTAGACCTCCTGCAACGCTTACTACACCAACAAAACTCGCTTTTAGTTACTTCGTGTTTTGTCATAATTAGAATAGAGCTAAAATTATCATATTTGGTACATAGCTTATTTATTAATGCTTCTTGCCAACTGTTTGGTCAACACTGTAAATAGGTATAGTTTATGTAATGAAAAGCCTTTCGTCAAAATTTGTGGCATAAAATACACGCAAGGACGATCTGAACATTTCTGGTTATTATATACGTTTGTAAAAGGAGATCCATTTAATTGTAGAACTATTTTATGAGTTATAATGTAGTCTACATATAAACTGTGTAATGTATTACGCCACGGAAGGGTTGAAACCTGTCCAAACTATCATATATATTATTATAACGTAAATGGGGTTTTTTCACGATTCTGAATCAACCAGTCGATGGATTTTCATTAGTTTTGTGTTGAAAGAAAGACCATTTTGAGAACTAGATAATTTCAAAGCCATAATTTAAAATTAATGTCCCAGTTTTTTATAAATTAAGTTTTAGTTTTTAAAAAGTCTAGCAGCCGATGCTAACCTTCTCCAATAAGTCAATGCTTCTAGCTAGCCTTTAGTACATTATAATTTGCTTAACATAACAGCTGTAACATTCAGTATTTGTGACACAAATTCAGCATTTGGAAGATAATTCAAATACATACTTATGGTTGACTTATTTATACTATGTATGTGTAATGCTGACCATTGATACATTTAATTTAATTCTTCGGTACGAGGATGGCAGTTTAATTAAATGTGCATAGTAAAATACAGTAGTAGGATGTTCAAATTATTTTTTAAAGTATTCTTTGTAATCATCGATTTGTTTTAGTCCAATATAATTTGTTTTAACTAACAGCTGGTTGAATGTGCTATGTATACTTATAAAAGGCAAAGCCCTCACTGACACACTCACTCTCACTCACGCATCATCACTAATTCTCCCACTTCCCATTTACCTAGGAGGCTGAAATTCGATACACCGATTCTTTGGGCATTAAATAGGAAAACTAAGTAGTTTTTATTATGATCGGGCATTCGGGCTCCGCCCCAGTGGCTCTGGAGTTTCCCATCTTAACCTTATGATTTTTCATATTTAAAAGGAATTAATGAATCATAACAGCTGTGTCAATTTAACAATTTATGACAACAGCTAATTTGCAACCAAAAGCTGAGTGAGCGTTTCGAACGAACTTCAACCTGGAGGCGAGTTAACCCCAAGGCAAGTGAGCTCAGCGAACGAGCTCCAACCTAAAGGTGAGAGAGCGTAGCGAACGAACTTCAACCAGGACTTGATTGAGCCATGCAAACGAGCTAATCTTGAAAATTAATTAGTTAAACGGGGCAAAGCCAGCGGGTACAGCTTGTTATTCTATAGAATTATTAGGTTTTTAGCTGTCATCGTTATTCGGGGACCGAGCAGGTCCCTAGCAGCGACCACAGAATTAAAATTTTAATTTTAATTCTGTGGTCGCTGGTCCCTAGGGCCGCAAAATTAGCTGCCCGCTTACTTACTTAAAACATGAATGCATATTAAATACACAATCAGTATCCATAGAATTATTTTATTGTCACCGTTGCCTAGCAACAATTTATTTTTATTTTTGCTGATGCCTCAAATTATTTCTTCACATAACCTTAAAGTTGTAGTTGTGCTAACCATCAGTGTGCATTATTATAGAGGTGAATAGTGGCAATAGGGTATAGTGTGGTGCAAAATAGCGTTCGTACCACGGACCGAAATGGTTTTGCAGCTCTCGATCGAGACGAAGTCGAACTATCTCGAGCCGGCAAAACCTTATTTTTGGCCCTAGGTACGAAATATACTATTAAATGGGTTGTAGCTTAATCGGGTTTCAACTTTATTTAATTTACAGTCTGTTTCAAAAGTAGAAAAATAAGCAAATACATTAACAATAATACAACGTTAAAAGTATAGTGATTTACCACTCTCAACACTAGCTGACAAAGATAATTTTGATAACACAGCCGAATCTGAATGGGAGGTTTAAATGTCGTAAATGGTGTTGTGATTGTCCAATAAATTTAGTGCAAGATGAGAGCTCGCCTTGTGGTCGGAAACTTGACCAAAAGTATGTATTTTTCCAACTTATCTATATTTACCCTATGCTATAAATAAGACATGTAAATGGAATTTCTTCTATTTGGTTTTATTTTCTGTTTACATTTAGTTGTTATTTCGTTACCTACATGGCAACCCATACGGCCCAAGTTATTTTTAAAATTTTAAATTCGTTTCTTGTGTTTATTTTTGAGCCTATTTTAATTTATAAAGGGATTCATCACATCTACAGGAAAATATCTTTCATTTGGTACCAACCGCGTGTAATTCGTTCCAGTAGTATGGTCAGGCTAGCTGTCATAAGTTTTGCAAAAGTTGTTTTGTATAAGACGATTTTGAATGATTTTCCAATTTGATTATCTTTTTTCACTAGATTTTGTAATTTCTTCTTTGACTTTTCAAATTCTAAGATTATTATGAAGTGTTC